ACCTTCACATCTTGTCCCAGTCAAGTTTGCATTTACAATGAACTTGCGTGTTATGCTCGATAAAAAAATGGAATTTCATTGCCAAACAAACATGCTTCGAGAATATCTGTCAATCTTTAAATAAACTGTGATTAAGAACATTCAAAGTCAACAAATGCCTTGCGACAATTTGATAATTTTAAAGTCTTCCAAACACAATTTTCCTTCGATCCTTTGAAGATAAACCTGTGAGCGACATCACATATGACCATGAACAAAAATAATCGTCTCAAGGTCTTGTAGTTTGAAGAAATCACAACTCTTAGAAAGCAGACGACTGTTATTTGAAATTAGGTTAAAATTCATGATGCGACTTCCAACGCATTCAAATTTTGGTGATCTTCTACGCGTAATCAGCTCTTGACTTGTGAAGAGAAAATGGAGATGGCATCAAGGAGAATCATACGCAATAAAAACCTCTCAAAAATATTGAATAATGAAGAAGTTACGATTGTTTGAATTTGTTCTCGCAAAAGGGTCGATTTTCAAGTAGATGTAGTCATTTTCAGTTATCTGGACCACTGATTGAGCAAACTTACAATGCGAGGTTTGGAAACTGGCTTAAACAAACCTTGAGGAGACATGAAAACCTATGAATACCAATTGAGACCTTGAAGACTTAATTTTCTTTGAGAAATGCAAAACCCTAATTGTAGACTTATTGTCTATGAAGAGAATCCGTCTGATCAACTTTTGAGCCAATTTGAGTATTCGAGAAACCCTAGGATAATATCTTGAAAGAAAAATGGGAGGGCAAATTTTGGGGTACTACAGTTCCAAACCAATTCAACCAAGTAAATCGAAGGTTATCGAGATTTTCAATCCATAAATGAAAACAAAAACCAAATTAGGGGTGCATATGGGTCAGTTTGGGTTAAATTTAATCAAAATTGTTCTGGATTGGACATGCTCTTGGCCCAGTTCCATATGAGGACCAACCCAACAATGTTGTTGAAGACCAACTGTCTGAATCTACCCTCGACTGTGTCGAGAAATAGCCTACACGGGGATAAACCCAGGGAGATGCGGGGAAGAGCATCGCCGGTCAAAAGGGCCTCAAAGAATATACTTCAGGCTTCTCCTCGAGCAAGGTCGATCCTCCCCTAACGGCCTCATGACTGGCGAGGATCCCGTGCGACGGGCAGAAGTACTCCACGAGCATCCTCCTCGTAGGGCTGACTATCAACGCATTTGAATATCACGGAGTCCACTTGACCCCCGAAAAGACCGCATCCATATCCTCCTGGTCATGCGGAGGAATCCATCCAGGTAGGAGACCATGTGCTGGTCCCCGCTACTCACGTAGAACCTGGCAGTCTCCACTTTGGGCCTGCTTGCCCAACCCAATGAGGGGACCTTGTCACAGCGCTGGAGGCTACAAATACCCTCTCACTTGAGAGGGTAGGTATTGATCACTTCTTACTCACTCTTAGTTGCTTGCATCATTCTGAATCTCATTTTAGCATCAGAGTGTCTTACAGGTACCCCCCCCCCCCCCCATCTCACTCTCAACTTCTGCTCGACGTAAGTTGTGACAATCCATTCCGGTCAGGTACGATCAGTGGCGCCTCCTATGGGAAACAGGCTTCCCCATCTTTCACTTACCTAAGACAAAAGCAACTCCAAATTCTTGACTGTCATGGCTTCCCCAGCTACAGTAAATAACATAAATGCCCATCCCACCGGCCTTAACAACAGCGTTGGCGACGACAATGCTGATAACAACAACGCTGGCAACAACATTAGCAATAACAACGCCGACCACAATATCAACATGCCCGACAGTTCAAATAATTACAAAGACGAAATGACCGCCTCTTCGTCGTCCTTGTCTTGACGTTCCAAATACTATCAGCGTCTTCCCTAGAACTATAAGCCAAACACGTTCCAGGAGGTTCCCGTCCCTGCGGGCGCTGATGCCACGACCAGGACTCTGTTCGCGGCTATTAATCAAATAAATTACTTGATCTTCTCACAAGGTGAGATATTAAGGGTGCTCGAAGATTCTCGAAGAGCCCCCAAAAGACACATGAGACCTGACTCTCCTCCTCCCCGTCAGATAGAGGAACATCCCCAATCTCCCCCACGGAGACGCCGACGGGATGCCTCACGAAGCCCCTCTCCCTGACGAACTGGGCGTCGCCTCAGATTGGAGAGGAATCATCCCGTTGATACAGGGAGACGTAATCATGTCCCCCGCGCCAAGAACGAAGACCCCCTGGAAACAGAAACAGGGGAAATGAAGAACCACGACCCCGGCCGAGGGATCCTCCCCGCAATCAGGGCCGCCATCACGACCGCCATTACAACAGGTCACCTTCCCGATCTCCAGACAGAAGCGACGAAGACGACCCCCGCGGTCCCCTATCCAAGGCAATTATGAAGGCACCCACTCCCATGGGGATGGAGAAACCTCCCCAGCTGAAGGAGTATGACGTCATTGGAGATCCAGTTGACTACATCAACGGGTTCAAGGCAATGCTACATTATCATAACGTCGGGGGACCGATCAAATTCCGATTGTTCCCCACGACCTTGAGGAAAACCACGATGGACTGGTATAAAAATCTCCCCCCATGGTCGATCACTTCCAGGAGGAACCTGAAGAACCAGTTCATTAGCTCCTTTACAGCGTCTCGTCGACACCCAAAGACTGAGGCCGCCCTTGAGGCTATCGCCCAAAGAAGCGATGGAACCCTCAGGGAGTTTATTGATCGGTTCAACCGTAAGGCCATTCATGTCTCGTGCACCGATCACATGAAGAGATACCTGCTCGAGAGACGACTCCTCCCGGGCACGAAGTTCAGGAAGGCTATTGGCATCGAACCACCTCGTACATTCGATGCTCTCCTCGAAAAGTCTAGGGCCTACATGGACTACGAGGAGAGGAAAGCGGCCAACAAAGCCCTCGACCCAAGGAACCGCGGACCAACCAACGCCTCGCGACACCAGGACGCAACCCCTCCTCGACGAACGGGCAAGAAGAGGAGGGATGACAAACCACGGGATCCCCATGAGCACAGGGGGCCCGTAGGACGATTCACCAAATACACTCCACTAACAGCTTCCCGCGAGCGCATCTTGGCGGAGTGTGCTAATACTGACTTCAAGGACGGCGGTGTCAAACGTCCTCGCTCTGTCTCTGCAAAGCCCGGAGCTAACAAGAGCAAATACTGTTAGTACCACCAAAGTCGTGGGCATCTGACTGAAGACTGCATCCATCTCAAAGACGCCATTGAAACCCTCATCAAGGGTGGCAGGCTCGGGAAATATCGTCGCAATGACGCCCCTCACCGGGATGCCCGTGAAATAAGAGAGGTCGAGGAAGACACTCGACCATTGGATGAAACGGACCCCATCCAAATAGCCTTATCCGTTACAAGGCCGGAGGACTTCTACGTCCCCGACAGACACGAAAAAGAACCTTTGTCCATGCACAGTAGGTGGGAAAGATTCCCCTCTGCCATGATTATAAGTGACTGGGGGTTCAACCACATATCTATAAACTCTGCAAAGAGGAAGCTTGGAGAGTTGGTCAACGCAGCCCTGACTCAAGCGGTAACATTCGATAAGGTCAAGGGTAGATCGGAGCCGATCATATTCTACCTAGAAGAGCTGCCCGAAGGGACCCCTAATTCAAGCATCCCTCTTCTGGTTAGGGCAAGGATGGTTAATTTTGACATTCACCGCGTCTTGGTCGACGAAGGGAGATCCGCCGACGTTATGTATAGTCATCTCTTCCGAACCCTACAGCTCGACGACACCCACCTTTCACCATACGTGGGGTCCGACCTGCAGGGCTTCAATGGCTCGACCTCCAAACCATGGGGGTATGTGGAGCTCTTCCTCACCTTCGAGGAGGAAACCGCCGCCCAGCAAATCAAGGTGTGATTTCTGGTCATCGACTGCCCGTCTCTCTACAACTGCATCCTAGGGAGACCAACACTGGCCGAATTGACCACTGTCCCCTCCACCGTCCATCTGAAGATGAAATTCTACACGAGGAGGGGACGCGTCGCCACCATCCACGGCAACATCTCATCTACCCGAAGATGTTTCAACACAACTCCAAAGACAGAGCACGGTCGACATTGGGGCACAGCCTGCTAAGAGAGTTGTTACTCGACCTGAGCCACTTCCCGTCAAGACAGAAGAACAAAGAGCTCCACCCAAGGTCGACTCCATCTCACTAGACACTACAAGAAAATTGGCAGATTGCGACAGGTATTTTTGTAGATTACGACGGTTAAAACCGTCGCAATTTGCTTTCCACGACGGTTGCTTTACCGTCGCAGAAGTGTGTGTCCCCAACCTATTTCGCGACGGTTACAAAAACTGTCGTTCAAGTTTACGACGGGTTTGGAGCTGACATAATCAAGTATTGGTGACTGTTTGATACCGTCGTGACTATCTTTTGAGTTTCTTTTAATTATTGATGGCGACGGTTCGATACTGTCGTGAATATCTTTTGAAATTGATTAAATTGTTTATGGCGACGGTTCGATACCGTCATGACTTTTGTTGATTATTTTTAATTGTTGATTACGACGGTTCGGTACTGTCGCCATGACTTTTGTTTATGTCTTGATTTTTTTTTATTTTTCTATTATATATTTTTTTTATTTAAATTATTATCTATGTAAAAAATTTTAAATATAGTTTTTTTTTGTGTTATTTTTTTCTTTAATATATTTATTTATAGTATTATTTTTTGTTTTATTTTCTATCACTTTGTAATATAGTAAAAATAATTTCAATAAAAAATATTTAACATCAAATAAGCATTATAATATCCAAAAAAATGTGTGTTCCATAATCATGTAAAATGCGAGTTCCATAATCATGTCAAGTAGTACAAAAAACCCAAAATATATCAATTCCTAATCTTATAATAATAAGTATCATTATGCCAAAAATACATGAGAAAGTTCACAATCTAATTATCTCGATCATAGCAAAGTCTAATTTGTCCCCCATGAAGTTCCATTATCTCCAATACGGTAGCTAGACTCAGATGAACGTCTACCATCAGCGGGTGATTCCAATCCCTAAAAAAAGGTATTAAAATAATAATCTTTAAAATAATACTCATAAAATTTAACTTTAAATGCGTCAAAATAATATACCTGTCTTCCACTAAAATTCTGCATTTGCATTAAGAGTTCAATTTCCTTTGTCCTCGCCTTGTCCCTTTGCGTTAAGAATATGATTGCCTGTGTTAATTCATCAATTTTTGAATTCTTTTCTTTAAGTGCATTAATTTCTTCTTGCATTTCCTTTATTTGTTCACTTTCTGCAGAAGAAGATGTCGATCTAGAAACGATCGACATAGATGTTGTTTGACAACTTCCGCTAAAACAAACAATATACCTTATGAATAAAACAAAAATATTTTAGGATACAAGACATGAATGACTTCGAACATAGAAAAGTTAGCTTTTTTGCAAACAAAATTACTTCAAACAACATCTACAAACAAAATGACTTCAAACATAGAGCAAACCAGTTATAGATCTACGTATTATGTGTAAAAGTAAATACAAAGGAATTGGTTTGTAACATAACATGTTTGTAACAGGTTTGTAACATCGAAAACATGTTGATGAAGCTCAGAACAAATGTATACGATGACTGATGACCAAGTGGAAGGGGTAAAAGGAAATGGGATGGGAGCACATACTTCCAGGAGCACAATGACCACCTTCCTTTATCAACTGTTCCTTGGTGTCCCTGAAATAAACAGTTGATTAAATTAAACAGAAGTCCAAAGAGAAGTTTACTTCAAGCATACCAACTCCTTTATTAGAGATCACTCAATATTCTATCGTAAAAAACAAAATTGTTATCACATTACATATATACTTAATTCAGCATCCAAACCATTATTTATACGTTGAATGGTAGAAGGATTTGATGAAAAATCACCCATAATTAGATGGTTATAAATCACAAGAGGTGTAACTATGTGGAAAGGAGTAGGAACGCACCGTAAAAGCTCTCCAATTATATCATCATCAGGAGACACTTCAAGTGCATTGCTCAAATCAGTGACGGCATCCTAAACAAACCAGGAAAGCTATTAAATATAGATATAAATGAAAATATAAGAAGTTAATCAAGTCACTTGAAGGTCACCTGTAGCAGGCCTCGTTCCTTATATGCCTGGCCTCTTCGATAAAGAGCCTTAAGGTTCTTTGCGTCATACGCCAAAACCTACCATAGTTAAAAGTGAATTAACGCATTGATGTGATGAAACAGCCAATTTTCAAAACAGAAAGTAAATTCATAGCAATCATGTTATTGCATATTACAGTTAGTTACAATGGAAATTTATTTATAATCTCCTAGGCTGATAAATTTCCCCATAGTAGTAACGCTACTAACATGTTGCACATGACTATTAAAATTTACAACTTAACATCCCACTGCAATGGTAAATGAAATGAATTATGAATACCTCAGAACCTTCTTTTATGCATTCATCATACTGCCTTGTCTTCAAGTAGCAGGCCATCAAGTTAAGTGAGCATGCCAAAAGAAGTTTTCTACTTTGAAAATATGGAATCTCTTTGATGTTTTCCTTGGCCTAAAATGTAAAAATTAAAACAAGGTGATATAGACTTATAGTGATAATTTCCTATAGTCTCAAAATAGAGATAAACAACAATGAAAGGTGTGGAGGAGACAGTTAAGCAATCTGAAAAGTCAACCTACCAACTTATACTTCTGCAAAGCATCATCGAACTTTCCTTAAAATCCATACAAAATTAAAAAGCATCAACAAAATTTTATAACAATATTACCCGAGCAACATCCAAAGTGTCAAAACAACCAAAATCTTCATTGTAACAACATTTTGCCCATTCATGGATCAACCATCACAACTCACAACCGGAAGTTTGTAATCTTCGACAGCACTACACTTGTTCATATGCAAAGTACTTCATCTTCCAACAATAAGAGGATTCTTGTTCTTGTAAATGTAATAGCTCATACACAATTTCTCTAAAGTTGCAACAGAATGCTGCATAGGATTTAGCTTTATATCCATCATCATTCTCTGCCATAATAACAACAAAACATTAAACAGCCTCCTAACAGCAACATTTTCACTTTACAATGTTAATATATCTTCAATTGAAATTAACATGACAACAGATCAAACCTGAAAATCAGCTCCATATTTCTCAACTAGCCGACTAATATAAAGACGCTGAATCGAAGTCAAAGGTTGAGGAAGTGCACTTTTATAAAATTCCAAGTGCCGATTAGATAGTAGCATCCAATATTTACGTATGCCACAAATACTTGCCATCACATGATGCAATTATATCATCACAGTAGTCTGGATCAATCGGAGAACAAACGAGTTGTGTGGCGTTTGTGGTGAAAAGTAAAAAGTGGTATTGATGGTAAGAACCCCTAAGGTTGTACTATTCAATTAAACATCACATATATGCATTTGAAATGAAAATTAACAGAGTTTCCATGTAGTGGATATGCAAAATCAATAGCATCCAGTTTACATATGTTGCATTAATTACTCTATTCAACTTTAATCATTATATTCAACATTCACACGTTTACCTATTACACTATACGGTACGTTAATGCTTTTCGGTTTCTTATAGGATTTTCGTTTTCAATATAATTTGCATCGATTCGAGTCTGTTTTCTTATCTTGTTTCAGCAGCAGCTCCAATAAGTTCAGATTCTTATTGAAAACTTTTTATGTGATGTGAACAAGCTGGCCAGAAAGTTAATCTTCAAAAGTTAGCAAGGAAAGTCTATAGGTATCCCTTTGTTCCACTCAAAAGTTAGCAAGAGTACCTTCAACTACATCATTTAAAGAGTTCAAAAGAGATTTCTTACAAATGAGGAAGGTTTGATTCCTAGTAAACAAAGAGTGCCAGGTACTTCGACTATGAAATTTCATGTTTTTGGGAGCAACATTAAGCAATCAATTTTAACTAAACCGATTGCAATGCATACAATCTACTTATGGTAACGAGTTTGGGAGAAATCATAACTTGCAAGTTCAAGATGATTCTCGATAAAGAGTAACGGTATGCATACGGAGATGTGAGAGGGTATGGGGATTATCTAATTCATTTGTATCGACTGCAGAGGCTTTGGATGCAATAGTTCTGCAGCCGCTACAGAAGTTCCAAATCCTAAGGAAAAAACAAAATGACTCGGTATAAATCATAATAATATACACAAATTTATGCATAACAAATCACAACCCCGGCAAAAAAATTTCTTTAAAACAACTTATATAGTTGCAAAAGCATGCAGCAAAACAGGAGATTTTTAAATTGGATCACATGTGATAAGATTAATCTAATACATTATTCATACACAACAAAGAAAACTGCCAATTTGGTGTTTCAACTGCTAGGTTCCTTTCTATACTAATGTTGTTGCTGAATCTATGGGGGTAAAGAAAAGCGAAAAACAATTGAGAGACTCATCTTGAGGAAGGGTATGCATCTTGATTCGTATCGCACACATCATCACTTGGGCTCTTTCAGAAAATGTAGCTTGATAAGTGCTGGAAGTTCTGCTAACTCAACCCGAGGTTTCCCGAGTAAAATACCTTTTAACTTCTCATCACAGTTTACCATGTTCTTGTTATTTGGATCCTGCACAAGCAAGGAAACAACCAATTCTAATCACTGATTCAAAGTTTAAATTCTCCAATCCTGAAAACAGAACAATAACAACAATTACTTTGATGTGAATCAATTTTCATGAGTTGAAAAAACAAAGCAGAACCTGAAGATTGTTGGTTTTGACGTAGGACCAAACACGCATGAAACAGGTTAATCGAGAAGTCTGAGATTGACCGACGAAGTCTCTGAGAGTGGGAGGAAGGTTAACGAGATCGATCAAGTTTGCGAGCTTTTTAGGGTTATCAGTAACGGCTTTCTTCATTCGCTGAGGAAGCATTCTTCACTTCAATACACGATTTGTAATGGCTGCGAGATGGGTTTATCAAAATTCTAACTTCAGAGGAAATGTGCAACTCAATTTGTGTTTAGTTAGGATTAGGTATAAATTTAACAATAACATTGTGTTTCAACTATATATGTGAATATTATGTCAAGCTCTATGTATATACTTTAGCTCATGATAAATGATTATTTAGGTATAAACTTAAAATCATTTTTCAACATCAATTAAATCCACATATCATGTTATAAAAGTCGTGTCTTTCGAGGCATAACCATAAGTTACCCTTGGTCTAGTCCTATCAGACCGTCTCGACATCTCATAGATCCTCCTCAAGCATAATACAAATATAACAAGCATTGAGAAAAAGATGAAAGATTAAATTTATTTGATTGATTAAATTGAACATAACACCATTGTCGTATCAAATTCATAGAATATATAATAATGCATAAACTTAACCTTAACAAGAGAGAACTTAAATATACATAACAATTATAATTAGATAAAATATATAAGTTAGCAAGAGATTTTTAAAGGTTTTGGGTGCGACGGTTGTTTTACCGTCGTGAAATGAATTTTAGGACGGATAATTTTACCGTCGTGAAAGGTTTAAGGGTGCGACGGGTGCTTTACCGTCGTGATATGCCTTTTAGGACGGTTAATTTTACCGTCGTGACTAGTTGTTGGTGAAAAATCAATGTTAAAAGTGTTAAATGGGGGCCGACGGTTGTTTTACCGTCGTAATAATAATATTATGATGGTTAAATATACCGTCGCAAAATAAATATTAGGGACGGTTGGTGTCAACTGTCGTAAACATTGTCTCTATATGTCAATTACGACAGTTATCACATAACTGTCGCAATTTTTGTGTCGTTAAACACTAATTTTCTTGTAGTGAGACACTCGCTTCGACAAGGATGAAGCACCCAACGACAAACAGGAACTCCTCCGACCAATCCTGAACGAAGACTTCGAGTTCGTCCCCCTCGGTGAAGACCCTCACAAAGGCGTGAAGATCGGCACCGGACTCCCCGACCTAGCGAGGAAGTAGATCAAAGCTTGCTTAAGGGAGAACGCATACCTGTTTGCGTGGAGCGACACCGAGATGCCCAGACTCGACCCTGGGGTCGCCTGTCACCACTCGGCCATTGATCCAGGGGCAATAGTACAACATAGACGTAGTAGTCTCCCGAGAAAGCGGATGCTGCTGAAAATGTTATAAAAGACCTCCTAGAGGCTAATTTTATTTTCGAGGCCCGGTATTCAACCTTGCTCTCAAATGTTGTACTTGTTAAGAAAAATAATGGAAAATGGAGAATATGTGTTGACTATACCGATCTTCACCGGGCATGTCCCAAAGACGCTTTTCCTTTGCCTAATATTGACATGCTGGTCGACAATTCGGCTGTCTATAAAATTTTATCATTTATGGACGCCTACTCGGGTTATAATCAAATCTCAATGGCAATGAGCGACAAGCATTACACTGCTTTCATGACCAGCTCGGGCAATTACTACTACAACGTAATGCCCTTCGACCTGAAAAATGCGGGGCAACGTACCAGCGGATAATGAATAGAGTCTTCCGCGATGAGATCAGTGATACGCTCGAGGTATACATGGACGACATGATCGTCAAATCTCGAACAGATACCGACCATGTCGTCCACCTCAAAAGGATCTTTGCCCAAGCGAGGCAATGCAGGATGAGATTCAATCCTAAGAAATGCACCTTCGGGATTAAGACGGGCAAGTTCCTCAGTTTTTATCTAACGAAACGAGGAATCGAAGCCAACCCCGACAAATGTCGGGCATTCTCTGAGCTCCCTACACCTAGCTCAAAGAAATCCATACAAGTCTTAAACGACATGCTCACCTCGCTCTCCCGCTTTATGGCGAAGTCTGCGCAACACGTTCTTCTATTTTTCAAACTTTTGCGCAAAGAGGCAGCCTTCGAATGGACCGAGGAATGCAAGCGATCCCTCCTCCATCTCAAGCAAAGCCTTTCACAATCTCCTGTGTTGTCGCGACCTGAGAACAGGGAAACCTTGTTCCTTTACCTGGCCGTTTCCATCGAGGCTGTGAGCGCATCCCTCGTTCGTGAGACTACAGACGGGCAAAAGCCAGTGTATTTCACGAGCAAAGCGCTACAAGGGCCCAAGGTTAGGTATCAATAGATTGAGAAAGTAGCCTTTGGCCCTCGTCAACGCAACGATGAGACTTAGGCATTACTTTCTATCACACATGATCATCGTGCGGACAGACAAACCCGTAAGACAACTCCTATATCGACCAGACATGGCAGGTCGAATGCTAAAATGGTCTTTGGAACTTTCAGAGTTTAACATCCAGTACGAGAGTAGGAAGGCCCTCAAGGCCCAAGCACTGGCCGACTTCGTCGCAAAGATGACTGCCCACGATCTCCCTATATGGAAGAAGCATAAATGGACCATCTTTGTGGACGGAGCTTCCAGCTCGACAGGGAGCGAAGTGGGAATCCTCCTCGAGAACGAGAAGAGCGTCGTGATCGAACACTCTCTCACCCTTTCTTTTCCAACATCAAACAATCAAGTTGAATATGAGGCATTGCTCGCGGGAATAAGACTGGCTGAAGATTTGGGCGCCCGAGAGATATAAATTTTCAGACTCCCAACTTGTCGCATCTCAAGTTCAAGGGGGATACCAAGCTATGAACAACAGCCTCATCGAATATTTAAACCTGGTCAGAGAACATATGAAGAAGTTTGACTGGGCAGAGATCATGCACATGCCATGCAAGCAGAACATGCGGGTCAACATACTTTCAAAGCTCGCGAGCACGAAGAAGAAAGGCGGGAACAAATCCATCATCCAAGAATCTCTCTCGCCCGAGCATTGAAAGATCCGCGATACCTCCCGAGGTAAACGCCATCAGGGACAACTCATGTTGGATGACTCTGGTATTCAATTTTTTGACAAAAAGGGGAGCTTCCTTTGGACTAAAGAGAGGCAGTCGCAACCAAACGACAAGCATGTTCGTACGTGGTACTCGAACACAAGTTGTACCGTCGAGGATTCTCCATCCCACTCCTGAAATGTGTCGAAGAATCTACAATCCCCGAGATATTGCGAGAAATCTACGAGGAAATCAACGCCCAACACATGGGCGGAAGATCCATAGCACGAAAGGTGATGCGAGCAGGCTACTACTGGTCGACCATGCAACAAGACTCTAAGGAACATGTCAAGAAGTGCGACAAGTGTCAAAAGCACGCGGACATGCACCTCGCTCCCCCGCACGAGCTAAACACATTGTCCTCCCCGTGACCGTTCGTCTAGTGGGGAATGGACATCCTCAGACCTTTCGTGCAAGGGACGTACCAAAACAAATTCATAATCGTGGTCGTCGACTATTTCAAGAAATGGATAAAGGTTGAAGCTCTGGCAAAAATCACTTCACACAATATCCTCTATTTCTATAAACGAAACGTGTTCGCCCGATTTGGAATTCCATAAGTGCTCGTCACTAACAACGTGACTCAGTTCACCGATCAAGGTTTCCAAAGCTTCATCGCCAAACTCAGCACCAAGCAACACTTCACCTCGGTCGAACACCCTCTAAACCAACGGACAAGCCGAAGTCGCAAATAGGGCCATCTTACAAGGTCTTAAACGAAGGTTGGGCGAGGCCAAAAGAAGGTGGGTCGAGGAACTCCACAGCTTCCTGTGGGCGTATCGAACGATACCCCACTCGATGAAGGGCGAGGCCCCATTCTAGCTAACCTATGGCACCGAGGCGGTCATCCCCGTAGAAATCTTGGAACCATCCGATGAACTTAGACGAGGAACTAAACGACGAGGCCCTAAGGGAAGAGCTCGACCTAATCGAGGAAATCCGCTCAGGAGCAGCCCTACGTGAGGCCACACTGAAACAACAGATAACTCTTCGCCATGACAATAAAGTCATAAAGCGTGAATTCCAGCTTGGCAGTCTAGTCCTGTGGAAAAATCAAAAAGATTCCCGCAAAGGGAAATTGGCAGCGAATTGGGAAGGATCGTACTGTGTCCACGGAACAACAGGCACCGGGGCATACTACCTCGAACATTTAAATGGAGAACCACTACCCGACCATGGAACGCTGCGAAATTGAAATAATATTACAGCTAAGTCCTTATCCTACTACGGGCATTAATAGTCGACCGGTCATATCCAATCGACGACACGACGAGCTCGACCACGTATGCATGTTAAGGTACGGACATGGCCTCCAAACTTCAACGTCGACGGGTTATTGTTCATTCCACGAATAGAAACCTAGCCCGATAGGGACACCTCAATCGAGCTTTGTTATCGATGTACCCAACAGACAGAACACCCAGCTCGCGATGGGCAATTCACGCCATGAGCTTAAGATCGCGACCGTGATCTCGAGCTCGTTCCGGGGATCCCCACGACACATCCCAACATGTGTTGTCCGCAACCAAAGTCAAGCGTACATCTCCACTCATGGGAAAATACATGTTTTCACAAAATAAACAAGTCAAAATCAATGACGCACAGATAGCTAACAAGCATTCAAAAATCAACGATGAACAGATAGCTAGCAAACATCAATGAAAACATAAAGGCATAACAACAAAGGACATTTATAAATGTCGACCACGAAGGCCGACGTTGTCTGAATATTATAATAAATGCAGGCGCACAGGCCCTGAATACAAACAACCAGAATATCAGAAATCCTAATCACTACGAGAAGTACTCGCTTTGGGGTAATCAGGAGGGGGAACCACGCGGCCATCAATGACTTGGGACAATACCCCAGCGCCTTCAGTGTTAAGCCCGGGATTCAACACGGACAGTTGGGTCAATGCAGTCTCGAAGCCGTCAGTCAGAGCATCAACACAATCCGACTCGAGGAGCTGGATCCGAGCAATTAACTTCGCCCGAGAATGCAAGTCTGCGATTCCTTCAGGCTCTCCGACCACGGGCAACATTGCAGCTTTCAAATCGACCACCTCTTTTTCCAATTGTTCTTTCTCAAGCATTAAGGAATCTCTTTCCTCATAAGCTTTGGCGGTTTCTTCTTTCCCCCTCGTTAACTCATCGGCCTGCACGCGAAACTTCTCCTCGCTCCGCTCGAGGGCACTTCTCAGCTGCTGTGTCTTCGCTTGAAGAGTCGCCTTCTCCGACTCCAATTCCTTCACCAGTTCAGAGGAGCTAGATCCTTCGCCTGCAAGGACTACAACCATCTATGCGACCTTCATCAAACCGACCATCCCGGAAGCCAAGTGCTTCCGTCGACCTTCATCATCGAGGCGTCTGATAATGTCAGACTCAGCATCGGACACGGTCAGAGGGAAACCCTCGAAGAAATCCTTTTCCGCAAAACAAGGTGGAAGGTTAAAGGTTCGGGCCGTCACCCCCTCCTCGACTGCACTTGTGGGTCCATCTTCTGACCTCCTCTTCTTGCTCGGAACAGTCGCGGGCTGTATGGTGTCGCGGGCACCCAATGACCCACTCGAACCATCCCTGACCGGCTCTGAGCCCGGGCCAAGGCGTATGGGCTGGTGCAGCTTCACCAACCTCTTATGATTTTTCTTTCCCTGAATGAGCTTCAGCAGTCATTCACGATGCTCCGCCATGTTACCTGCAAATACAAAAACGATATCCCAGGGTTAGTCTCGTTAGAAAGACATAAACAAATATCTCGAGAAGTAAAAATACAACAAATCACGCTAGCAGAAACTTAGAAGGTTCACGACATGCCTATAGATTCGACATTCCACGAGCGCCTTGGTATTGATCGGGCGCGCCTCGGACGTCGGTTCGCCATCTTCGTTAAGAATGTCATGTCCTTCCCTCGTAACTTACCTTAAGGGAAAGAACACGTCGACGAATCGAGTGAGGATACCATATGACTTTTCATCCTCGACACTCATACTTCTAGGAGGGGTATGGTAATGGTCAGGACTATGCTCATAGTGACCCGAACACCAGTGGATATGGAACTTCAAAAGTCGACCGATCTCTAGATTGCCCTCCTCGTTGAGGCATACTTCCCCGTCTTCATCCACGACTGCCTGAGACGATGGTTGCACGACGTACCATCTATCTTTGAAGTCGCAGACAGAATCCATGTACATCCTGATTAGTCTCTTCGACTGCTTCAAGGAAACCCAATTGTGTTTGCCACCCCTAGATTGTCGTTGGAGGTGGAAAACCCAGAGAAACTAAGGAATGGTCGCCCCGATCCTCAGGAACCGACAAGTGATTTTGAAAGCCCGGAGGAAGGCGATTGCATTAGGATGTAATTGAGAGGCTGTCAGGTTCAAGTGGTTAAGCACGCCCATTTGAAAATCATTGAAGGGTAAACGAAGCCCCAATTCTTTGAAAACGACCTCATACATCGGGAAGTGATCCTCCTCGAACTCCGAGCATATCCTTGTTGTGGGAGTTGGTCGCAAGATCGTGAAGTTACGACAAAACCCTTCCATGTCGCCGCCATGCTAAACAACAATATAGGCTTCCCTTCTGCTATAACTATAAACTGAAGTTATCCCCCAAGGCTCTGACCCGACCCAGGACAGCGCAAGGTCGTCAACCGTGTCGACCAGATTGAGCACTTCCTCGGTAGTACTTGTCTCTTCGACATCTATATGCTCGGACGACTCTGGAGTATCAGCTATTTCACCTGTAAAGTAAAGGAAGCCAGTGAATTCGACAGCAAAATCACATCCACCCATCCATCGTAGCACGGGTGAAAAGAGATGGCTACGTCCAGAGTAGGTCGACGATGACTCGAGCAACGAGGATCATGCACGACCCACGATCCACACGTAAAACTTATACAAATCTCGTAAGATCGTGCGGCGATGATAATAACGAAACGCATGTTTCAAGGATAACACAAGCAAATGATAAATATAGCAAGCAGATTCATGGATGCTGCGAGGAACATGTTAATTTAACAGACAAACTCGTGAATTTATCAGGGAGCATATTAATCCCCCGCGCAGAATTCATGAATTTCGCGGGGAACAGATGAATATCACGAGCTTATTCTTACTCACTCTTATTTATTTGCATCATTCTGAATCTCACTTTGGCATAAGAGTGTCCTGCAGATACCCCCTCATCTCACTCTCAACTTTTACTCGACGTAAGTTGTGATGGTTCATTCTGGTCAGGTACGATCAAAAACCATTACTCAACCCATACATGGTACACTGATTTGGGTGCGGTAAAATAACCACCCACGACATCATTGGGTCGGTTTGAGTACAACCCCAGATTTATGGGTTAGATTGGATTGGGTAGTGGATTATCCAATTTTTTCCTTATATAATTATTAATAATGTGTCACGATATTTCTTAATAAATAACTTTAACATATTACCGCTATTTTTTTAAACATCAAATGTTTAAATGCACGATAAAATTCATCATAAACATATTTGAAAAAATCAAAGTTACATTACAATAATACCTAGAATTGTATAAAATACTTGCAACTTACAAGAATTAACATCAAAATAATCAAAAGGTTTAAATTTAAGCAATCAAGATTAAAAACATCAGAGTCATCACTTATTAAATTACAAAAAATGTCAAGAAGTAGTCACTCAATAACCCATGAGTTTTGTGTGTTGGGTGTGGGTTTACTCATAACCCAATTAATTTGAATGGGGTTTTCATTTTTGAAAACCGTATTCACCCAATAACCCGACTCAACCCATTTTTTTGGGTCGATTTGAGTGGGTTTTACTGGATTTATTGGGTTTACCCAACCCATGTACACCGCTAAATCAAACCATTAATCAAGGATAACACAAAAATTAGCATGACAATTATTCATATCCACAAAGATTATCACGACTTCAACATCAATTTAAAGAGAACAAGAATCAAAACTTATGCTATTATCAATGGCAAACTCCGAAAATCTGCAAAACAAGCATAGTTTCAAACGTATTCCACTTCAAGCAATTCAAGAATAAACACGATTTTTAAATCACAAAAGAAACAAGCATCGAACACTCGAAAAATCTAGCATGGCATACATTCTTTGTTATAAACAGGTTCAAATCAAATGACTCAATGGTGCTTCAAAAATCTAACTCAACTAGATTCAAAACAAACGGGAATGGAGCGAGGTTATGACATACTTTCTCGCTCAAATTCACGCAAAAAGAAAGGAACAAACATGTTGCCCCCATAGTTTCTCGGTCATATTCTACGCGAATAAACGCGGCATCGACATCAAACCTTCATCGTAACTAACACGAATATCAAACCTCAAAACTTCAACCTAATTCACAATAATAACATCAGTGAAAACATGTAATCATCTCGAAGAAAACATCTGCAAATCCCATCATGTTAATTAATAAACCTCAAGAAAAAACAACAACAACATAATCATGTTATCGTTTACGGGAAATAACAACAAAATTTGATTCCGAGACCACTTGCGGTTTAAGAGCAAGGTAACAATCAACACACTTCAGATTCTACTATCCTAGTCTATCATAAAAAGGACAGTAGTGATAACGATGAATTTTTGGTCGCAGCCAACAACAACAGCATAGCGTCATACGTTTCTACTCGAATATCAAAACTAGGCAGCATAACAGTTTCTTTTCATAGTTTTATCACGGGAAACTTTGACAAATTAACATAACAGCAGTATTTTTAACACCAAAACATGCCAGCTATTCTTTCTACAGAGTTATCACAAAACTATTTCACATCAACAGTTCATTCAAGCAAATGGAATGGAAATTACCGAAGAGAAGCTACGTTATCGCTGCGATGTGTTGCTGGAAGGATGAGTTCTGGCGGCGGAAAGATGAAGCAGCTGGGCGGAGGAACTGAGAACAGTTACGGACAGAAGAGGATTGAAACGGAGGGTAAGAGGTGGATGGTATGTGGGTATCAGCGGTTGACGAGAGAAAGAGGAAGGTGATTGCGGAAGTTAAGGGGTTACAGTGATGATGGTTTGTGTGTCCGGAACTTTAACGGAGACTGAGTGAGTTGTTCAGCTATCTATTTCCCCTCCTTATAACAACACAAAACTACCCTTAGGTTTAACACAAAGACCAAAGAGTCCTCGCATATACATTTTCTTTTATAAATATATCTAAATATAAAAACAAAATAACTAAATTTTTTTATAAACTTTTTTTATAATTATAATACTAAAGTTAAATCCCAATTAAAAAAATAAAATAAAACATACATATTTTTTTTGATTAAAAAATAATAATAAAATAAAATAAATAAAAATCAAATTATTATCTATCTAAAGGCAAAAAAAGGAATATATATATATATATATATATATATATATATATATATATATATATATATATATATATATATATATATAGACAAAAAAGTTTAAATCAAAATAAATGATAATGCGTGTAAAAAAAAGCACATATATGAATGAAGATTAAATTTAATATATGAAGGCGAATGAGAAATTCGGAGTAAAATTTGGGGTGCGACACCAGGTTCAACCAAGATTCTGATATCCATCAAACTAGATTTTGTTAAGAAACCAAAATCTGGTATTTGAAACCAGACTCATAATGAACCAGGTTCTGAGAGCTCATCATGTTCTGATAGCAAGTCAATATGTGAGTTACTCAATCAAACGCTTCTAGTCAGTCAATGAAGACTCTGATGGTGTTTCTAACCGGACATTACAATCAAGCTCTAACGAGTGTTCTAATCAGGGAAGTATTCCTTTCATTCTGATTAGATTGTTTTATATTTCAAAATTATTTCATAAGTCTTAAACTGAGGGGGAGACTCTTAACAAGCTAAGATAAGTTTTGAGAATATGGAACTCGGGGAGAGGTTTTTTAGTTAACTCTAAATTGTTTTTATATGATTAAACCTGTAAAAAATTATTCATTAAAGTACATGGTTTTGTCATCATCAAAAAGGGGGAGATTGTAAGAATAATATTTGGTTCTGCATCTGGCCTTTAGTTGTGGTGATAACAATACATTGTTTCTTAGAGAAAAATTTTGTACCCTAATGATTTTGTCGAGTGTGTAGTTTTTTCTAACAAATTCTGGATCTAATAGAAGGGTGTGTGACGTCATTAGTTTCTAGAATCAACACACTCTGACTCTGGAGAGATTCAAGTTCGTATTACATAGATCTAGTCAAATTAACGGTTCTAATGAACATTAGTCTAAAGCTTCTTATTGTGGCTCTGATTGAAGAGCTTCTGAAA